GGCCAAAATCATTATTAGCTGGACAAAATTAATAACTTTTAAAATATTTATCAGGTTTTTCCCATAATTAGCAGCTTGAGTATATTTCATATAACAAATCTAATGGCACCATTAGATTGTTTATTTGGTTGCCATGGATACCTATATTTTATGTCAACAGGCATTTTGCATAGTTACCTAAATAAAAAGACTTTCTCAAAATATCAAAGTTATAAACTAAACTGATATTAATGCTACATTGCTATTTTATGTATTTGAATGATAACACAAACAAAAAATTATCAATTTTTGGTGTTACTATGCTGTTATGTGCTCTTAGAAACCAGTTGGTAATTTTTTTGAAACTTTTTCTTAATTCAAAATTTCTTTAAAAAATGAAATAAAAACTTTTAAAACACTCTTAACTATAAAGGTTTACAGGAACAGTTAATTAAATTTTAACTGTGTAGTTTAGATACCCTTAGCAACCATATAAAAATAAGCAAGTTTTTATGCAATTAGAGATACAAAAAATTTTATAACGAATATATAAGAAAACAAACTTTTATATTCATTATTTTATTATGTAAATATTAAATAATTATAAAGTAAACACCATCTTAAACACCAACGAAAATCAAAACTATGTCATTGACACTTAGTCAAAAATTGGAACCTCTTTAAGAAGATCAAAAACTCCATTTGGAAGAGCGTTTTTCTTAGGATGATGGGGTTTTCTCAAACTACTTATCAAAGGGTCAGAAGAACACATTAGTCGCCTTAATAAATCTTCGTTTGTTTTGAAACGCGAACACTTTCTAGAAAATGATTCTCGAAATTTCTTAAAATTTTTATTTTGAGCTTCTTGTGCCTTTTCGCTGAGCATGCCAATAGGCAAAGCCATTCTCTCTACAACTTGCCAACCATGAATAAGAATGTGATGCAGACTCTGTGGCATATGATACCATGGATAAAGGATTACATACTTCTCAGCTGTTTTGTAGCAGTATTCTCTAAATAGTGAAGAATCAATTAGAAAGTTAGATGACAATGTACACAAAATCACATGCAACATCTTTATCATACTGACATCAAGTTCAAGAATTTGAGCAGACTTCTCTGCATTCTGAAAAAATTTTCTAGCAGTGTTTCCATTATTTGAAGACCCAGAGCCACCAGATGTTGGCATATCAATTATCAGTCCAACTTCATCACGAAACCTTATCTGGATTTTCTGTTTTTGTTCTTGAATAATTTTCTTTTCAGATATAGTTCTTGTAGCCCACTTTTTCACTGTCAATTTATAACTAATTTTAAGAAGACATTCCATGCTTTTAATCCAAGCATGGAGAGTTGAAAGACCGAAGCAGAAACCTATCTCTGTCAATGGCATATTTTTAGCTGCATTAAGATCATTCATTTTTTTTGGGCTGCATCCACAAACAGAACAACACTGAAAAGATGTAGTTGCTGTAGATAATGCTGTAGCAACTTTGCCGTCCACCATCGTTATTTCAATTTTATGAAGTATTGTTAAGTTTTCACAAAATTTTAAAGACAAATTTGCAATTGAATTGTTAATAAACTGATTCTCTTGTTTCAAAACTTCAATGGTTTCTTTTTTAAATGAAAATCTTATTGGTCTGCAATATAAAGTTGAAGATGGATGTGGATTAGACCAAATTATTATTTTTTTATCATTAATGAATCCAAACAACTGAAGTGGAACAAAACAAGAAATAAACAAACTAGCTTCTTCTAAAAGATCTCTGTTTTCTTTCTCAACCGTTACTTGATTATAAATCCTTTGGCTAGTTGATCCATCAAACCCAACTTTAGAATATAAAGTCAACCTTTCAAGATCATTCATTGAATCAATAACTTGTTTCTGCAACTGTATTAGGCGTATTGCTGTATGATCGACTAATGCTTGAAAGTTTATTTCTGCTGAAAAATCATTTACAGTCCATAATGTTTTTTCAGAAAGACACTGTTCTTTAGCAGCACGAACATCATTGTAAGCAGGATAGAGATTACAACCTTTGCTCAAAGCATTATTTCTCAAGCGTTGGTAATCAGATTTGCTCATATCAATATCTAATATGAGTGCTAGAGCTTCATTTAGAGTGTTTTGAGTATGTTCTGTATCAAAAGGTTGCTTAATAGATAAACTTCGAACTACTTTTGCATCTTTTCTTCTGCTATCTTTAAAAAGATTACAACTACTAGCATACAACAGTTCATTTGATGAACAAGTTAATAAGTCCATAGCTGCTACTTTACGACTCTTTGTCTTATTTGATGAATCATCAAATAATTTTACAGGTCGACCACTAACTATAGATTCAGTTTTATTATCCTGATTTTTAAATGACTTAATAAAGTCTTTTTGAAGCCATACTGAATTATGTTTCATAAAGTTTTCATCAATTCTTTTACTTAAAGACCAACGTTTACGATACTTGGACAAAAAGGTTACAAACTGAGCATCAAATTCAGAACAGTATTCACGAATAAAATTGTAAACATAAAGTTTGTCTTTTTCATTAGACATAGATAAACCATGCTGTCTTATGAATTGATGAATTTGATATCTTGTGATGGTTGACATATTACTAATAATAATATTATTAGACTAAAATAATATAAACATTAAAAAGTTGTATTAACATATATATATATATATATATATATATATATATATATATATATATATATATATATATATATATATATATATATATATATATATATATATATATATATATATATATATATATATATATATATATATATATATATATATATATATATATATATATATATATATATATATATATATATAAATACTTGTTATTTTGCGACAAAAGAAACTTGAAAAAGAAACATCTTTGATTTTATAAAGTATAAGTATTAAAAAGTATTATAAGTATTAAAAAAAGTAGCAGATACTAGCAGCTAAATTAATAATTTTATAAAAACATATACATATAGCCTTCAAAATATGTATAAGAGATAAAGGCAAAATAGAGCACAAATTTTTCCTTGTTGTCTTTTCAAAAAAAATTAAAAAAAAGTCCAATTTTTACCAAAAAATATATCTAAAACTGGTTTAAATTTTTTTTTTAACTTTTTTTTTTTTATAAATTTTATATATTAACAATTATTTGATATGTTAATAAAAACAATTAACCAATATACTAAAAATTTATTACACACTTTTGCTTTTTTAAAAACTACATTTTCTCACTTTATCGCCATTTTTTTTTTGCAAAAATTTTACTTGAAATGAGTTTTTGTTGAGAATATATATTTTTTTAATTTATTGTAATTATTTTTAAGGTCCTCAATGTATCTAAGTAAAAACTTTTTAAAAAGAATTTCAGTTTTCAGACATAAATTTTTTTAGTTTTGTCCACCTACTGGCCCACTGTGCGCTGTAGCGAAAAAAAATCAGTATATTCGCCAAAAATGTTTTTCTAAGAAGCTTAGAGGTTGGTTTCCATATAGTCGCACGACAGTCGTGCGACAACTGTCGCGCAACAACTTATGCAATTTTGTTGCACAACCCAGCTGTTTCCATTAATTTTAGAAGCGTTTTTAAATTTTTGTTAAAACAATAAAAACAAAGCAGTGGCTATGCTCCGCATGACCTAATTGGGAAAAGGCCCAGCGATTATATAGGCCTTTTTTGAAATTTTTAAGGGCTTATTACAAAAATCAAGGAACTTTTTCTTCAAGTAACACATAATAGAAGGGTATTTTCAAATTTTTTTAGCCCTAATGACATGTTTTGGGGAGAGCCTCTGATTCACTAGCCACAACACTGAATATAAATTCGTTGTTAATTGTAAATGCGTTCTTAAATAGTTTTTTTTAATTATTAAACTAAAAATTTTTTTGTTAAATAAAAATTATTTCTCATAGTTACTTTTATTAGTTTATATCTATGTAAAAAGTATATAAAAAAATGTTACAAATACTGAATATGTAATAAAGACTGTCATTATTTTATTTTTATAAATATTGTTGTATTATTTTATTTGTAGGATTGTAGTTTTACAAAAAGTTATTTTAAAGTAAAAAGTTAAAAATGTCTACTGCATAAAACTTAGATTCAACTTATTATTGTAAAAAAACAGGAATCCCAACACTTTTTTCTAGCCAAAAATAAATATTTTTTTCTGCAGCTTTAATTTTTTCGGACAATATTTCTCTTAACTTTAACTAACTTGATTTGTATCTCAATTTAGTAATACATATATATATATATATACATATATATATATATATATATATATATATATATATATATATATATATATATATATATATATAATTATATGAATAAATTAATTTTCAGAAATGGAAAATAATAAAAGGTTTAATCTTCTAAAATGCCAGCTCGCACTTTGCAATACATTACTGGCACCTAGAACATTGCAAAGTAAAAAGAAAAAAAGAAAACACAAATTTCGGATACGCTCACTATTTAGAAATCGTTGCGAAAAAAAAACATTTAACACACTTATTACTGAGCTACACCTTCACACATTTAACACACTTATTCCTGAGCTACGCCTTCATGATAGATAATTTTTTTATAGATTTTACAAAATGTCTCCTGAAAGGTATGAACACTTGCTGTCAATGGTTGCACCTAGCATAACAAAAAAATCTTGTCGAAGCCGTCAAACTATATCATCTTCAGAATGTTTGACTGTGACCCTGAGATATTTGGCTACTGAGATTCACAACAAACACAATCTTTTTATTTTAGACTGGGCAGAACAACAGTATGCAACATAATCAATGAAACAACAAAGACTATTTGGGATGTTTAACAACTAAGTTATTTAAAGGCACCAGAAAGTTCAGATGAGTAGGAAAAAGTAGCAAATGAATTTGAAAATGAGTGAAATTTTTCTAATTGCATTGGGGCAATAGATGGCAAACATGTATGTATTGAAGCTCCTGTTTCAAGTGAATTTGCTTACTACAACTACAAAAACTATCATAGTATGGTTTTGCTAGCCATATGCGATGCAAAATATTACTTTACTTTGGTAGATATAGGTAGCTATGGCAAAGATAATGATGTATCTATATTTAATGAAAGTAAAATGGGTAATGCTTTTAAAAATAATTTGTTCAAACTTCCCAAAAACCGACAGCTACCAAATGGCACACAAGTACCACCAGTGCTAGTTGGTGATGATATTTTTGCGTTAAAACCTTGGTTAATGAAACCTTTTTCTGGTAAAAACTTAACAATCAAAGAACTTATTTTCAACTATCGATTATCTAGGACTAGAAGGACAATTGAAAACTCCTTTGGAATTATGGTAGCTAAATGGAGAATATTTAGACGTCCAATAAAAGCAACCCCTAAAAATATTGAAAACATCATAAAAGCTTCAATTTGTTTAGATAATTACTTAAAACTCAATGACAGCATTCACTATGTACCATCTGGGTTTGCTGATTTAGAAACAAATTCTGGTGAACTTATTCCTGGAGAGTGGAGAAAAATTGCGCTTGAAGGTAATGCTTTAAACATTTTACCTCGATGTATAAGCAATCAATACGCAACAGATGCAAGCACTGTGAGATTAACGCTAACAGAATATTTTAATGATCCAAGTGGATCCTTGTCATGGCAACATAATTATGTAACTAGTTGTGGGCACAATATAACAGGAAATCAAATTTTTTTTCAATAGTGAAAAAAACACATCGATTCCTCTGTTTTAATAATATATTGTTGTAATAATATATTAAATTACTATTTAAAAATTACATATAACAAAATGTTGAAAGTTTTTAAAAAAATGTTAACAAATTATATTTCATGAAACAATATCTGGAAATTCCAGAGCAGCTAAATATTGCTGAATGTTTATTTTAGCAACTGCTTGGGTTTTAGAAGGTAATCTCTTTATTGTTGCACAAATAGATGTACAAAAATATGTAATGTCATCATTTTCTTCAAGTGCACTAACTCCTAATGTTGCATTAATATTGCTCATAGTAGTGAGTATTGCATCTTCTAGTTTTGCATTTTCATTAGATCTTTTTAAGTTCTTTTTTCTTATATTCATAGGAGATGCTATTTTATTTAAAGATTTTTGTTGATTACTAGATGTACTTGGCCTACATGTATTAGACAAAGTTAACACACTTGTATTATCATTTAAAGTTTCTTTTTCTAATTCTTCCTCATAATTTATATTTTCATCACTTATACATGACAAAGGTAATTCTTCAACATTTTTTATTATATCTCTGTTATTGTTGTTTTGTATCTCTATTGCTGTTTTATCTCCAAGATTCGTCTTCGTATCTCTATGATCAATGTACGCATTTAACCATTGCAAAAAATCGTACTCTTTGCTGATATTGATTCGTCCTGATCCTGACGGTGTACTTTTTTTTTTCCTCAAAAAGCGACCATAAGCTGACCTAATGTTTTTGAATTTCGATTCACAATCTTGGTCAGTTAAACCAAATGAAACTCCTATTGCTGCCCAAGCATTTTTTTTAATAACATTGTTCTTAAATTCTGTATTGAATTTGTCATACAGTACAGGACATTTCTGTACTTCCTGCATGAAACTCTCTTTACTAAATTCTTTTGTAAATCTTTCCTGATTATTTTCCATTTTATTTCAATGTGAATTTTTTTTTGTTTTAATTAATATTTCGTTTTCTAATATTCAACCAATCGCATTGTAGGGTCGTGCGACAATTGTCGTAGAGATTTTTTCTATCTCTGCGAAACCTATGGCACGACTATAAAACAGTCTTGCAAAATAAAACTTGTCGTACGACTTATGTTTCCATATGGTCTTGCGACAGTCGCAAGACTGTCGCACGACTGTTGTACGACCATTTTAGATATATAGAAACCAACCTTAAAGTTGTAATGCCTCTTTTCGGAGTGAATTGTTTTAAGACAAAGTGTTCATTGAAGAAGTTTTCAGTTAAACTCAAGAAGTAAAGCTTTAGCATAACAATTGGTTATTAACCTTCTTTCGTAGTTTTTTTTACTGAAATGCTAAGTTATGCTAACAACTTTTTCATCGATTTTTTTTTCACGAAAGTTTTTTGAGAACTAAAGAACTCGGCAGTTTTTTCTCTTTTACACTCAATTGGCACTTTCATCCTACGCATCTTCCGCATTTCTTAACTGATTTCTAGATATACTTTTGACAACTTCTGACAGTCGTTCTATGTTTCAGAGGGTGATTAGGCCACTTGATCATTTATTAGTATGTTTTAGCGGATTTATTTTTCTAAATTAATAGTTTCCATACAAAAAATTTTAATTCAATTATGCATCTTTTTGCATACTTGTATGACTCGTAAAATATTCTACTTGCATACTTGCATTCTTGTATGACTCATAAACTATCCCACTATATACTCATAAACTATCCCACTTGGAAGTTAATTGTTTCTTTAAAATGTTTTCTTAAATTTAATTTTTTAATTTGTTGATTTTTTTTGTTTTCAAGTTTATCAAGCCTATCAAAGATTACTTTCCAACAAAAACTCATAATATTTGCAAAAATTATTTTACAAGTTTTAAAAATGTTTTTCAGTCTCTTTTAAAATATATTTTTTCTGTTCTTTTAGTTTAAAGGTTCTATGTTGGTTCTATTTTTTATTTTAACTTTCATATTTATAAAAAAATAAATACTGCTTTGCAAACAAGCCTCTAGCTCATACAACGCCACGACGGAAAATCAATACAAAATAAATAAATAAAAAAATAAAACCAATTGATGCTGAAACACAAAGAGGTCTACATCGTTTAAAATACAAAATATCTTTTAGGTTCTCAATAATATCTTTTTTTAAATAAATTACTTTAAGAGTAGTAAGCCCGAGACTTAAATGGTAACTTCAGTAGTAGACAAATGTCAGATAACGTGTGCCTCACAAAGTAATATTTTAGAAACCATTTTTGAGCTATCATTTCATTTCCAATGCATTTGGATATTTTTTTAAAAACTGAGAAATAAGTGATGACATCACTTTCAGTGGTTGTAATCATAAGATGAGTTGGGTGCCATCAGCGGTTTCCATGAAGTACTTCATAAGTAATACTTATGTACATAAATGCTTCTTATGTGTAGTACTTATGTACATAAGTATTACTTATGTGTTATATTGAGAAATTTTATAAAAAACTTGAAAAAATTCTCAAACAAATAATGCCAAAACGAGTTACGCATTGTTTTTACTACGGACTATGCAGTAAAAACATTCAAAAACATTTTAGTGAAAGAACTGTGAATGAGTTGTGTTGCCTTAAAATATATTTCGTTATTCGGCAAAAATAAAAAAACATTTATGGTTATTTTGATATTAGTTTTTCAATGTTTTATTAAATAAATTTCGAGAATAATAATTTATTCTCGAAATTAATTTTTGAACGTTTACAAAAATAAATTGCTTTTTATTTTAAATAATTTTTTTTTATTCTAGCTTAACGTTAGTGTAATTTAATGATAATCTTTAAATAATAATTTTTATCCTGAATTATCGAGAACAAATATTATAGTGTATGTATAGAGTTTGCATAGTTTCTAAAAACATAAAAAAAGAATTCGAAGAAAAAGCGGTGACTTTGTTTTGCTGACTTTGCCGATCTATAATCAAAAATCAATTATAAAAAAAAATCTTTTTGAAATAAATAAATAAAATAAGAGTAGTAGACAAATGACAAACACTGCTGATGATTATAATAGGTTTTTTACAGTTAAAAACTAAAGGTAACTAGTGTTTTTCGGTTCACTAAGAGTAAAAAATATAATTTTCATTGTATTTTCTGATTAAAGTACAACGCGTTAGCAAAAACAGTGCAAGTAAACTAAACTATATAACATATTTAACTTAATAAACCATGTAGTTGGAAAAAAAAATTTATTTAGTCAATTTATTAAGTTATTTAAAGGTTTTTTTTTAACTAAATATTTCACTAATACGTAATAATATTTTAGTTTGTCGTACTTTGTTAGTTACAGTTACAGTTACACTTTAGTTAAACTTAAATATAATATACAGTTACTGTATATATCATATACAGATGCTGTATACGACAGTATTGTGATAAAATAGTGCTTATACATTTTTATTCCGTCATCACCATTGTCATCTTAAACAGGTAGAGTTTTATAAAAATTTCAGAAAAAATTATTTATAATTGAATATGCAGAAAATTGTTTTTACAACAACAACTAGTATGTTTCCTTGAAAATACTTCTACACGCATTTTGCTTAACGTTTTATGTTGACCAAACTATTTTATGCAAGTTCTCATAAGTTGTCATTTTTTAAAACAAAATAAATTATAAAACTATAAGCCAATTTAAAAAACGGTTTAAAAGATATTTAACAAAAAACAAATCATATTTTTGTTTTTTTGTTTACTCTCAAATTTTTTAAATCTGCACTGTTATTAGGAATTTTTGAGCAATGACCCAGTAGTTAAAGCTCTCGCTCTAAAATCATAAGATCCATAGCTCAATGCTTACTTTCGCCTTTAAAACAACATCAGTATAAAAAGACAATAACACTTGTATTCAATGCATAGCTCATGATAGCAAACACTGCACTTCCATTGTCGCATACTCTCCACTGACTTTTCTTTGCATTAAAAATAAAACTAATCATTCAAATCCACTAAAGTTACGGACTTTATTTTGTTAATTTTTTTTTTACCTTTGCTCTTGTTTTTTATATTTCACTTCATTACAGTCCGATAATAAAAAAACTTCTTTTGTCAGTGGTTTTGCAACACAGAAGAAGGTTTTTTCTTTTTTTCTAGGCGGGACTTTTTATTAGCTCATTGAAACATTTATTAGGCATTTATAAATTTTAATGAGTGTCAGCAATTGTAGATGGTCCAGGATGGTATGGTTGTCTGGCAGCAGCCGTTAAGGGTCAAGGTTGGTACGCTTGTCTTACAGCAGCCGTTGATGGGCAAGGTTCGTAGGATTGTCTGACAGCAGCCTTAAATGGTCTAGGTTGATTGTCTGAGCTTACATCTGACAATGACCCAGGTTTATTAGCTATTGATGGATCTAATATAATATCTACATCATTCTAAATACATGATCGATCATCAGTTGCCAAGAATGTGTTGGGCAAAAATGCTGAGTCTGTAACTGTTTTCCTGTCAAAAGGATGAATTTCAGTAGCTCTAAATCCTCTCATAATATTATAGTAGCTTCAATAGCTCTAAATCCTCTTATAATATTAAAGTAGCTTCAGTAGCTCTAGAACTTATTTTTCCAAATACGTTTCAAATTCTTCAAAAACATATTTGTTTATAGGTTAAAATTTATGTATTAGGTTTGCTGGTAAACAAAAAGAGGTGAATACCGTAACTCTTTGCTTTTTAAACAAGATCTACACTAATGAATAAAGCCGCTTTATCAACAATAAGAAGAATATCACTATTACACTTTTATTTGTTGAAGAGCTCTATCTAAAGATAGAATGACTCAACTTTCATATATACCTTCTGAGTTATCATTGCCGCAGAGCCAGGTGGTAAATTATATTTGTATTCTTCTTTCATTCTTATTCCTTCAATGAGAACCATTGGGGTTTTGCAGTACTCTGAGCATTCACACGCACAAATATTTTTACATTTTCCGCGTGTTTTTGGTATTGAGATGGACTCGCTAAGCACCTTCTAGTGCTAATACAGCTTGCTGTTGATGCACTGTACTTTTATGTATGTTGTAAATGGATTCAGTATTATAAAAAAGGCAATACTGTTCTAATTGATTTTCGAAAGGGTTCATCTTTTGAGATCTAGCTGGATTCACAAACTGCGTTTTTCTGCAGCTCATATTAGGATGCTGTCTTAAACCAGTTAATGTACTAATCTTTTCCATCCAGCTTTTGAGCATTAAGTTCAGCAAAATCATATACATAGGACTTTAACAGTTTAGACGTTACTGGCGTTATTGACATTACTGGTATTCAAATATCAGACAAACTAGTAATCCTTAGATACTAGTTCTATTTCATGGTCTAACAAATGTATGCACTTTATTTTCAATTAACTTTTATCAGAACCTGAAATAAGATGATTCCTGAGTGTTTTTCTAAGGATGCCAAAATTTTTGGCTACTTTTCTTTAAGATTGTCCACTCTCAAGGCTTTAAGAGCATCTTGCAAATGGCTTTCTTTCTATTTTGCTCTACCTGGTGCTGTTTTCTTTACCAAATTTGAAAAAGTTGACTGAAATTTAAAATAAATTTTTAGGTATTACCGGTATCTAATATAACTAGAGACGCCTATGAAATTGTGCGTTATATAAACAATCAGTTACATTGTATTATAGTATATAGACCTGGTGCGCTAACATATTACAATTTTAGTAAATTTTAGTGTTTTTAATATTTGCTAGAATATTACTGATGTTAGGGTAATAGAGCCTATGGACCTTATTACCCAAATTTAAGTGGGTCTTGTTAGCGCTATCAACTTGCTGCGTTTCAAAGTCTAGCATTTTTTTATTTGACAACATGCACTAATACTACTTGTTTGGTAACATTAACTAAACACTACTTAATCGTAATATATGCAGTTTAGGAAAATATAATATCATGTTTTATATTTTCACGTATATAATATCACGTATTATATTTTCCTTTTTATAAAATATTATAAGGTTAACACTGTAAATATGTACGAGATAATAAAAGTATATTAAGATGAGCAAAAATATTGTCTTTGTTTTTTGTTTTATTTTGATTTATTTGTAATAAAGTATAGAGAAAAAAATCTTGTTGATACATTAAATACATATGCTAAAAATTTTTTGGTCAAATTTATTAAAGATATTACTGCAACTTTATAAAAAAAACGAGCATATTGACCATAAAAAGCATTGTAACTTTTATCTTTCTTTTTCCTGAGGTATCCAGAAGCTATTTAGAAAAAGATATCAAACATATTTTTCCGTAAAAAAGTTAAAGCGATTATAAAAAAAAAAGAGCATTATTTGCACGTTACCTGCGTCTTATATTTTTTTATTATCTGCACATTATATATTTTTTATTATCTGGACATTATATTTTCAGAAATAACTTGTTTAGTTAATTAAAAAGTTTGTTTTTTAAAATCTTAAACAGAGTTGTCTTCGAAAAAAATTGTAATTAACCTGTATGCAAACCTTGCTTCTAAGTATTGCAAAAATATATATATTTATGTTGCAACTTTACAAATTTTCTAATAATGTAGGTAATCATGAATATACTTCTATAACACCGCTTGCTAAAACGAAGCCAGTTGTTTAACAGTTTAATAGTTTAAAGAGTCCGGCAAATATAATTCATACCGAGAGGAAGACTGCTCAGCTCAATCAGGAAGCTATTATTATCTAAATGTTAAGATATAATAATCTAAAGAAATCCTTTCATAATTTTTAAATAACATTTTGTTAATTAACATAAAATCACATGCATATTAAATAAAATGTTTGTTTATGCCAATCAATAATAATTACTTGCCCAAAACGTATAGACAGATTTAATGATAAATTCATAAATTTATCATTACATTTGTAGAAACTAAACAAATAATGTATGTAATTATTAACATAAAATGCACCAGACACTTTGGTTATAGATATGTATATATATATTTTATTTGGAGGGTTCTAAATGTAAAAACATCAAACTTTACTTAATACTGTTTATCGAGGACACTATTTAAAAAAAGACTACCTTTAGTATATTTTTTAAATAAATCACCCAAACCAATTTTCTTTTCTATAGAAAAAAAATGTTGCAAAAATTCCTTTTTTTGGTTTAAAAAAGATCCAAAATTAGAGTCAGATTTTTAGTTTGCCTTAAAGTTTAAGACAAACTAAAAATGTGACTCTAATTTCTGACTTCTAATTTATGGGAAGCTTTATCAACAGTTTTCCTTTTAAAAAGATGTGGGTTTGAGTTAAACCCACATCTTTTTAAAAGGAAAACTGTTGATAAAGCTTCCCATAAACAATACGTTATTGCTTTGTTATTTTTTCGTAGCATATTTCATGTTTGCATAATTCTAATTAAAAAGAAACTCTGAGAAGACTAACGGTTTTGTCTATGAGCATCACAAAATAGCATTTAATGCTAACTTATGCTATATATTCGAGCCCCCTCCGTTGTCGTCGGCTCTGTGAAGTAAAGTTAAATATATACTTTACGTCACTATATTATGTCACTAAATTATATATATTATAAAAATGTAAAAAAACAAGCAAACCGAAGCTACACTTGAATATTGTAAAAATATATAGCAAGTCTTCAAAACTTAATTTAGAAATAAACCAAAGTTATAAAACACTTAAGGAAATGTAGACTTTTATTTTGTATATTATCGACCGAAACCAACTAAAAGAATGATAAAAATTAAACATATTTCCTTTTAAAAATTGAAATTTTGATCGTTGCTCGATCCGGGTATTTAAAGACCCTAAAATTATTTTTTTAACGTTACAGTAGACGTTTATTGAGTAAGAGCGAAACATTTGCGCTAAGTAACTTTAAATTAACATAATTAAATTATCGAAACTCATTCATTTGAGTAACCAATACCAAAGTCTTTCATTTTCGAATTCTTAATATTCTTAGTTTCCGCATAATTAGTAAAACGTACGCTTTCAATGAGCTGTTCTACTTAGGTTTTAAACATTATTAGATTACTTACATTACATCATTTTAATTAATCGATTGTTATTATTTTTTTTAATACTTACTTTAAGTCTTGTAACCTAGGGTTACATATCATTGTAGCTTAACTTTACTGGGAAACAATACTGTACAACTCTATGGGCAGTCGGCACTCAAGGGCGTCTTAGTCCTGTAATCTAGCTTTTACATGTTTTATAAACATATGCATAGTTTTTCATTGTATCCCAATCCTTCCTCATTCTCCTAATAACACTATGAAAAATAATTGTACAATTTTAACAACCTACCAAGTTATTTAACTTAAGTAATGTTAACTTCTGTAAAGTGTTTTTTTAAATTCATGACAAGGAACGTGATTTAGTTAAAAGTTAAAAATTTTACAATTTAAAATTTAAAACTTTATAAGTAGTATTTCTATACTTTTAAAATTAATTCAAATGTCTCTTTTTATTTTTTAATTTCAAAAATTTATATTGATTGCACGCGATATATTTTTAAAGTTCATGTATATACACATAACTTAAAAAACTCGTAAGTTCATAATTTTATTTAAGTTTTTTGTCATAGCAAGACCTCCCGCTAAAAAATTTTTTTTTTAGCATATTCGTGCGCAAAATTTTTTTCTATTGTTGCTAATTACTTTATTTTGTAACTATTGTCTTGAAGGTATATTAAAATACTACAGATATATTGGAATAAAACAGATATATTGGAACACATGACAGCATTTAAAAACAAGTTTCTATAAAAACTAGAATTAGTTGTAGGTTTGAATATAAATAAAAAAAGAGTTGAGATTGATTTTAACTTGGTTTAATATGGGTAAATGGGGAGAACGATTTATAATGCTTAAAAAGGTAACTGGAAAATGTTTGTATAGCGATCATTGCAATGGTTATCAAGAAACAGCTTGCTGCAAATCATTAAGGGTTCTTGTTCTTGGTGCTCCAGGAGTCGGTAAAACAAGTGTTTTAGAGCAGTTTTTGTACGGAAAATTTTGCAGCGATTACTTGCCAACAGTATCAGAAGTTTATAAATCCAGAGTATTTATAAAAAAAGACAAAGCTAAAAAAGAAATAAATTTAGAACTTCGTGACTTTAATGGAAAAATTAATCAAATGTTCACGAGACTTTATCGCGAGGAAGTGATTAAAGCAGACGCTTTTATTATCGTTTACAGCGAAAACAGTGAACAAAGTTTTGCTAAAGTTGTAGAAACAGTTGCTGATATCAACAATATTCGTAACGTAAAATCTCCCATTCTCATACTGCAAAATAAAAAAGACTTAAAAAGTTACGAAGAACTTTCAAAATATTTTTACATGATAAACACAAAGCACGCAGTAGTATCAGCTAAAGACAATAAAAACATTCATGACGCGTTTAAAGATTTGATCTTAGATCTTGAACGTGATTTTTAAAGAATAAAAAATAAAATTAGTTTAATATTCGATATTTAATGTTGTTAACAAAATAATATTTAAAAATGAATCTATATCTATAATAAATTGAAAATGTTGTAAAACGGTCTACTAACATTTAAAAAAATTCAAAAGATATTTATATATATAAATATAGTTTTTTTAATATATTAGGAAATGATTTCATTATCACGAATATGGATTTACATAATTATATTAAGAAATAAAGCTCAAATAATTTTTCAAATGAGATTTAAAAAATATACAAACACGTTTATTTTCAATGTATATATATATATATATATATATATATATATATATATATATATATATATATATATATATATATATATATATATATATATATATATATATATTTGAATATATATATATATATATTGTATATATTGTATATATGTATATATATATATATATATATATATATATATATATATATATATATATATATATATATATATATATATATATATATATATATATATATATAACATATATACATATATACATATATACATATATACATATATACATATATACTAGGAAAAAAAGTTCCATAGAATCTCTATAAACTTTTGAAACATATGGGCTATAGAATTTCTATAGAACTTCTATAGAACGTCTATTAATTTCTATAGAAATTGTTATAAAATTTTTTTTCTATAAAAAAAAAAACGTAAAAAAAAGGTTCGATAGGAATTTCTACAGAAATTAACCGAGATTCTATAGAAATTTTATAGATTTCGATACAATTTTTATAGGCCATATGTTTCAAAAGTTTTTAGAGTTTCTATAGAACTTTTTTTTCTGGATTGGGAAAGCTTGATATATAATCTAAACATTATTACACATAGTTAGTTTTTTTTAAGTAAATTATTAATTTTCCACCTAAAGTAGAATAAATAATTATCTTATTCTATTGTTGTTTGGATTTACCATGGTTGTAGCAAGCATTTACCCTCTACTCGGTAATGATATATAACCGTCAATTAAGAAAAAACAAACAAAAAAACTTTTCTTTTTCTTGCTTTATTGAATAAATATTTTATGTTATTTTTTTCCTTCTTTCCCATTGCCGATATTTAAATTGTTACGGAGATAATTTTATGAGTTATTTCCAAGTACTTAAACATCTAAAGGATTAACTTAACTATTGAATTGCGTTTTAAAAATAACCCCAGTTGTTGACATTCAGGAAATTTTATTTTAATTTTAAAGGAATTGTAATTAATACATTGGATGTTTTATTTCATGTAACAAGTTCTCCATATTACTATATCTCGATGAACTTTATAAACTTTTTTATGTGTTAAGAATTACTGACTAAGTTGCTTTAAATTGATTTTTAATAGCTAAACCACTGGACTATACATTAACAAGTATATAGGTAGCGCTATCTGTATTGTTTTTTACTGATACTCTAGGATAAATTAATCTTTATTAGTTTTTAAATCTTCTACAACTTACAACCGTTATTTTTTTTGACTTTAATTCATCCCACTTAAACAAAAAACAACCAATAATCCCACCTTGTTGAGAAAAACAATGAGTTACAGCTATAATGAAAGAAGTATGCAGCGCTATTTAGAAAAAAGAAAATGTTATCTTAATCTACTTCACGGTGGTCAATATGTAAAGTATTTTTTTTTATAATGCTATGCTATATGCAATTATGCAAAACGTGCAATATAGCGTAAGTACAATTTAAAATGAAAAACTTCAACGTGTAAAAAAGATTTGAGTTTTTATCTATCATAATTTTACTTGGTAGTTATACTCAACTTAAAAATTTTGTGTTGTTTTTCATTTATATCTAAACTTAAGTTTTGATACAAATAAATAGTAAAATTTGTCTGGTATGTGAAACATTTTATTACTGATACTGTATTATGCTTCCGTTTTTAAAAAAAAACCATTCTTTTTCTAAATTTTTTCTTAAGATATTAATTGAACTTTAATAATTTCCAACACCTGATAATTAAATATTGTAGCTTTGTAGCTAACGATATAATAACGGCATATCGATAATATAATAACGTCATATCGATAATATACCGTCTAGTTATATCGTATCTGTAAAATTACAAAATCTTTTTACGTACAAACTGTCAGTAGCCAGCTGGATTACGCCTCGTAGCCTAATTTTGAAACTATTTAGCGTATACTGTTTGTTTGCTGCGTAGTGTGCAACGGTTTTTGTTTTTTTTGCGTCTAAATATGTTTTTAAACCTAAGACTCTTTTTAAGCGGTAAAGTATGAGCCACTTTACAAGTGTCGGTTTGAGGTTTAGCGTCGTAGGGGAAGAAGGGAAAGAAAAATGAGTCGGGTACGGCAGCGGTTGGGTTTCAAAAATTGCAGTTATGTGCCATTTATCATAATTATTAAGTACGTCTAAGACACTGAACAATTTAAAGTTTGAGTTTGCTAAGCTTACTTTAGTTAACAACTATCATTAAAAAAAACACATTTAACATCATTGCAATAATTTTGTTATTTAAAAACGTATTCACATTATACATATTACTGAAAACAAGCATTAAGAAAGAAATTTTATTTCCTGCCAGTTTATACAAACTTTTTTTTGCGAGATTTTATTTCCAGCGGGTACAGGACATTTGTTGGACGTGTAAAAAACATTATACGATTTATGACGTCTATAAGGCGTTTTATAAACATCTTACGGAAGTCTGTGCCCGCCCTTCAATGTCAATGCTCTCAGCAAGCTCACATTTGATAATAATGTCAAAAAAGACATTGTTTTGTCATATTCGATCACAGATAATTTTTGATAATTTTTAGTCAACTAAAACTTCTCTCGTCATAAGAAGGTTTAAAAGGAAGAGTCAAGTCAATTCTGTTGAATATAGGCAAGTTAGTAAAATGTGATATCATCTATTTCTCTAATAAGGATAGGTTTACGCTTTATGCCGAAATTTTTTTTAACACGTAAAAAAAAATCTAAATTGCTCAACAATATTGACATCTAAGTTATAATTTTTTGTTTTTATCTAAATCTAACTTATAACCATTTGTTTTTCTCCTTAAAAAAAAAATCGTTTACCGTTTATAAAGTCATTGTAGTTTTATAAACATCTGTCACTGTACAGTCACGACAGTTTTGATATACCAAACTATGTTAAAAATGCATTGACTGTATATATAATTTAAAGATGTTACAAATATTCGGTGACTATTCGTTAATCGGCCTATTCGGCTACTTTTTTTATTATTCGGTATTCGGCCAAATATTAAGATAATGTTTTGCGTATGCTGACCACAACTTGTAAGGTTTGCTGTGCATCAATAGGAACGCACATCAATAAAAATAAACAATCGTAATCTTGACATTCCTATTAAATTTAAACTATGCTTTAAGTTTATGTTGTTGTAAAGATATCATTTTTAATAAGTTTGGAGTTATTTGTATTGTACCGATCTATAAAAGCTTCTAAAATTTTCTTCAGATATGCAAGATATACCTGAGCAGGTTTTTTTTTTAATTTTTTAGAATGGTTTGAAGGGTACAATTTGATGTAACACTCAATAAATAATGCGTGCTGTGACAAAAACTAGTCATAAATAAAACAAAAACGCCCACAACATTGTTAACTTATGCACTTCAATGAAGCAGGTTGGAACCATTAAAATAACTAAGTGTCGCCAAAAATTCTGTGCTTTTGCCGAGTGCCTAGCCGAATATTTTGTATTTGGAAAAATTGATATTTGTGACATCTCTAATATAATGTGTGCGTTATGAAAATAAAAGATATTTTCTTAAAACAAAACGTCTCCGCATTGTTTTCTGTCATTAATGCGGCTAAATTTGTAAAGCAGGTTTGTAAACAATGGTTAGTTATTACCTAGTTTTCTATTTCCATTTAAAATAAACAAAGAATTTTATTATAAAATTTCTATTAGATTTTAGGGAGCGCCAGTTGACCGGCGCCAGTTAAGCGCGGGGAAGCAGCTTGCCCCCTCCTCCTATACGCTGTATGCTGAATCCGCTGCTGAACCTATTACTAAAAGTGTTTATAGCTGACAAGTCACGTTTGCTTTAAGTATTGTATGTCGTAGCGCATACAATATATATGGGTTTTATTGTGTGTTCTTGCGGTAAAAAAGACTTCAAAAAACCCACAAACGCTCTCTAAAATTAATTGATACTGATATATTGATAATAATTGATTCAAACAGTATTAAAAGCGAATCAAATTTTATCAATACTGCTAATGATTGTCATTTTATTCAACACGTAAATTTCCAGACATGCTATAAAAACACCGAAGATCCGTCTTCAATAAATCTAATTTTTTCTGAAATGAAACAACGAATATCAGAGATATCTCTGGGGCCAACGCTTAGCAACATTACACATGGACACTGAATTATAATATGGAAATATATGACTCAAAATAATCTATCTTTTTATTGTTTGTCTAACCACCGTCACAATTACGCTATGGGTGATTACGAGAATCTAAGAATATATATTGATAGCATAAATTGGTCACAACTACTCGAACCCTGCGATTGTATTCAACTTTGTTACGAATCATTCTTATCAATATACAAAAAAGCATGTCGATTATATATTCCTAATAAAACACTAACAATCAAAAAATAAACAGACCAAAGTGGATTGAGTCATATACAAAAAAACTTGTTCAGGACAAATATCGTGCATGGTACAAATTTCGAATAGTATCTAAGATGTCAAAGACAACAATAAACAGCGTAATTGAAAAAAAAAAAAAGAATATCAAAAAACATGCAAAAAATTATCTCACCATATAAGGAATAAGAAGTTGCAATTCGAATTTTCATTAATAAGTAAGATAAAAAACGAATCTAAAAAGTTCTTTTCGTATGTTAATCAAAACTAAAATTAAACTCGAGTGTCAACTCAATACAAGACAAACACAGCAATTTAGTCACCAACAAAACGACAATAGCTAATATATTTAACATACACTTTCAATCAGTCTTCACAAATAATATAAATAATGAGCTTCCTGAATTTGAGATTTGATCCTTAACTCAAGCAAACGATAACGCAGATCTTCTTTTTTTGTGACACCACAATATTACAGAAACTTAAATATTTACAAATTGATTGGAATTGATGGCGTTAGTCCATACATTCTAAAAAACTGTGCGATATCAATTTGAATTCCACTAAAAATAATTTTCGTGAAAAGTTTTAATTTAAGATTATTACCGAGGCAATGGAGCCAGGTAAATGTTATTCCACTACACAAAATCGGAAGTCGAATCTACGACTTACCGCATGTAATTACTGGCCAATATTGCTCACATCAGTCATAAGTAAATTAATTAAAAGTATAATTCGTGACTCCATAATGAAACATCTAACAGCAACTAGTCTTATCACGTCGCAACAACATGGTTTTGTGCCAAAAAAGAGCTGTTTCACAAATTTGCTAGAGTGTCAAGACTTTGTTAGTACAGCTTTACATAACAAACATCCTGTCGACGTTCTATTTACTGATTTTGTGAAAGCATTTGACACTGTATCACATGAACACATTATCCAAAAAATTGAATTGTATGGTTTTAATAATAAATTTGTTGCATGGATTACATCTTTCTTAAGGAACAGACAACAACGAGTTGTACTTAGTGAAAACCAGTTTGACTGGAGTCCAATCAGTAGTGGTGTAATACAAAGATCAGTTCTTGGACCGCTTTTATTCACAATATTCATAAACGACCTTCCTTGTAAACTTTTCCAAGTAGTAAAAATATACGCCAACGATAGTAAAAACGCTTGCTGAGCTGGACGAAATTGAAACACTTGGAAACGAAATAACAGTGATGTAGATAAAAAGCTAAATGGTGTCAGGAATGGAAGATGAAATTTAATATAAGTAAATGTAAAATAGTGCATTTTGGTAAGTATAATTAAAAAATAAGTTATACTACCTTTGACTTTGTTAAAAAAAATACGAATTGAAGGCTCCGATTCAGAAAAAGATCTAGGCGTTAAGACATTTACTGTTTAAATAAATCAAGCACTCTGTTAGCCTACAGAGCTAACAGAGTGCTTGGTTTAATTAAACACACATTTGAATTCTACATCACCTCAATTGCTAAAATATTGCATAAAGCCTTTGTTCGACCGCTTCTCGAATATGCAGCACCAATCTGGAATCCATCAAAGAAATACGATATAGCTGCTCTTAAAAGTTCAAAGAAGAGCTACTCGAACAAGAAAGTACATCTAAGTAATGAATCAGGATTAAACAGGTTTAATATTACAACGCTAGAAACTTGAAGGTTAAGAGGAGATTTAATAGAGTGCTTCAAAATTGTCCATGGTTTCATACAAGTTAAATGGTGCATATCTTCATTAAAAATTATAGTAAAAGCTAGTAAAAATGAGTTAATGGAACAATCTGCATACAGAAGAAATCCCATTTGATTCTAAAAAGAACTAATAAAGGAATGTTGTTCATTAAGAGAATTTTATTCTTAATAGAATAGCCACAGTATGGAATTTTGAAATTCTTTTTTATTTTCTATATTTTGGGCCTCTCCAAAAAATAATGATGTTTAAACAGCCAAAATGAAGCTTTTTTAATAATGTACTCGTATAGATTCACTAAAAAATGTTTTATAGATTCTGAAAAAATAGTAACTTAAATAATGGAAATAGAAATCCGGTGTCTTTTCTTTACTTATCAACAACGAGAGAAACAAATCTTTCTTTAAAAGGACTTGTAAAAATATAATTCATAAACTAATATATATATATATATATATATATATATATATATATATATATATATATATATATATATATATATATATATATATATATATATATATATATATATATATATATATATATATATATATATATATATATATATATATATATATATATATATATATATATATATATATATATATATATATATATATATATATATATATTAGGGCAGGCCACAGTCCCACATAAACTTTTCAAAAAATTAATTTTACTAGTGGCTGCATAAAATATTGTTCTTTTTACTATAAAAATCATTTTTTGTTATGAAAGTGTTTATGTAGCACATCTCTAAGTACTGCAGCATTTCATTTTTAATGTGAATTTGAAATATAAATGAAATACACAAATCCTCCATTACATCTGTTTAGTTATTTAAATTATTCGGTTAAATACATACCAATATTAGCGTTTTTTAATTTAACAGCCTAATTATCTTTCTAATAAGATATTTATATTTTAATCCTTTTCTTGTAAAACAAAACAAAACAAAAATGATATTTATAGATTTTTATTTTACAACATAATAACTTTATTTAGTGGTTTTCATAGAATAAATAGGCACCTGTTAGAGTTCCGGAATTCGTTGAATTGTGTTTGAAGATATATGTAAATTAGATTAAAACTCAGTATGTTTATCTTATGTTTATTTATTTACAAATCGTAGGCCAATATGTTTCCATAATGTTTTTCAATAAGCATAAAGTAACAGATTCAACACCAACGTACTGACTATTTATTATAGTCAGTACGTTGGTGTTGGTATATAGCCAGATTATTGTCTGATCGTAATTTAGCAAATTTATTAAAATCTAGCACGCCGCTGTCATTTATCTTATGATTAGGTTATTAACAATACAAAATAATTAAATAATTAATTCTATATGCTCATCTTGTTTTCAATTCCAGTTTATATGTAATTCAAAGTAAATATTTAATAAAGAAAATGTCACTAAATAAACCAAAGAAAAATGACATTAAACCAACAAAATTAAAAAAGTCAAATAAAAGGAAATACTTGAGAGTATTGAATTCATCAAACAAAATATGGTTGGTTCTTTGGAAGATTTAAAAACAAGCTCTTTGCCCATTACCAGAAATGTTTATAAATTTTTCAGGTTAGGCTTAATACTATATTAAGACTGAAGTTATAACTTAATGTTTTTGAAAGTTTTTTTAAAGATTTAAATTATTTTCATCATCCATTTTAAGATATCACTTGCAAGTTATTGATAGCTCTTATGAAAAGTTTACTAAAGTTAGGGAGGCATTGCACACTCAAAGCAACATTTTGAAATCTAGGTTAGCTGCATTGTTTGCTATTAAATCAGTCAAGCTCTTTTGGGATAGACTGGCATTCCTTATAAACAAGACAAGTACAGTATTGAAAATATTTTAAGGCTACATGACAAATGGAGGTTGCTTGCAAAATTTTAAAATAAAATTTCTAATAAGAAGAATTTACTTGAACAAAACTTTTTTCAATCATTAGATAGCATTTTTGATATTAGTTCTCCTTGTTGGAAAGATGACATTAGAAAAACCAGATCAGATAAGGATGCAGATAAAGATATTGCCTAGTTTTCAACTCTTTAAATTGGAATAAAAACTAAAGGAATGAAAAAGGTGTAAAAAATAATGTGCTACGTTCGAGTGTTAAAACTTATACCACCAACTGGTGGTATTCGCCATGTGCATAGGTATGATGTTACTTTTTTTAAAACCATTTACAGTAGATAAGCTTCATACTTTTTGCTTTTGTTGCTGATATTTTTTTTCTGATTAGCATTTATTTATTTTATAAGGAGTTTACGAGTTGGGTATTTCAATCAGCATCACGTCGACTCATTAAATATGAATCAATCAAGTTTAGAACTTTTTAAATCTCGATGGCCTGGTATAATTTTTTTTTTACATAAGAATTTTAAAATGTCTTTTTAGTAATATGTTAAACAATAAATATGTAATATGAATAATTGTTTAAAGTTACATAATAATGACAGTTAAATATTAGCAAATAAATATTAATAATGTTAATTAAATATTATTAGTATTATTTTTTTTTTTCAAATATAATCTTTTTTTACATGCAGGAAAGCAAGATGTTGAATACAGATCACATTTAGGAAGGTATGGTGTAACAGGAGATTTAGCAATGAGGTCTATATCAAGTTTATCAGGTGGTCAAAAAAGTAGAGTAGCATTTGCTGTAATGACCTGGCATGAGTAAGAAATTATTTTTATTAATAACATTTAGCATTATTATATATTTATATTATTATATATTTATATTATTGTTATTATGTTTATTAGTAACAATAATATATATTTACATTTATTAAATTCCTGAAAATTTAAATTTTTAAAATAAAATATCTTCAATGCAAAAATTTAAATTTTTGCTTCTTAACTCTCTATAAATACACTTATTATATTTGTAGTTAAGCATATGTCATTAAAAACTTATTAATAAAAAAAAACATAACTACTATTTATAGTATTCAAGATGTTGAAAGCATATTGATTTAGAAAAAAATTGTTTCAATAGAATGCGCTTAGTATTTTGAAATCTATAAAACTAGAGAGCGACCAAGATGTTTCTGGGTGAAAATTTTTTAGTTAATTTTTAATTTTCAGAAGTTCTACACATTATTTGTTGAAAGATTAATGACCCTGATTCAAGTTTCATAAATTTATAAATACAGTATTTAGCACTACAATTATATTTGTAGTGCTAATACAATTATATTAACAATTATACTTGTAGGTGACAGCAATAACATCTGTCGTCACCTACAAGTATAATTGTTCTTCTTCTAAGAAGCATATTAATTTTCTTTAAGCATTTAAAATTTTAATTATGATTAACAGTAAGAATGAAAAACTAACTGCGGAACATTTTTCTATTTTTAGGATAAGCATTTACCAGAATTGAGTGATTTTAAAAAAGTTCTAGAAAGTTAAGAAAAAATCAAAAAGAAACAGGTGGCAACTGAAAATGAAAAAAGAAGAAGAATAGATGATGAAGAAACTGTTCAGTTGGTTGGTTATAGTAGTTATAGAAAATAATAACAGAATTTCAAAATAAGATTAAATCAGATTATTTGAACTTCATTGGGATGAAAAACTTTTAAAACAAATCTCAGGGCAAAAGTTTGAGTATTTAACTGTTTTGGTCAATGGCTTTCCTAATTGTGTTGAAGGAAAAATATTATCAATAAAATCTATGCAGTCTATTAGAGGACTTGCTATTTGCAAAGGAATCTTGGAAGACTTAGAGGAATGGAATCTCATTGCCAACATTGTCGCCGAGGTTTTTGATACGACTGCATGTAATACAGGAGTTAGGAATGGAGCTGCAACTCTTTTAGAGGGTTGTAAATCAATGAAAACTCTTCTTTGGCTGGCTTGTCGCCATCACATTTTAGAGTTGATCTTGGGAGCATTTTGGAGGACCTTATTTAAAAAAGAAAAAAAAGCTAATTATAATATAGATTTCGAAGATTTTCAACAAGAATGGGTTTGCGCAGAGAAGGCTCCACTAACGAAAGCAGACAAAACTGGTGTGTTCTTAGAGAAACGAGTAAAATGTAAGCATCTTCGAGGTGATTACAAGGAAGCTGCAGAGTTAGCACTTTATCTTTTAGACGGACCAGAACCTAAAGTATGGAAAACCTGTGGAGCAAATCATCATACCAGATGAATGTCACATTTGTTGAATGCACCGAAGATGTTCATCTTTAAAGAAGATTTACTCGATTCTGACATAGCAAAGTTAAAAACCTTTTTGACTTTCAGCTTAATATATATGTTAAAGCTTGGCTAGAAGAAATAAAAGGCTCTGATGCACCAATTCATTGCCAACGATATTCATTTATACAATGATCTAAGCACTCTAGGGCAAACCCCCACCACGTCCATGGTAGTACCGCGCTCAACTCGTTTCTCCGCGCAGCGGCCTTGTTCGTCAAGGTTCGTGTTTCGGAGTTATAGAGTTGAGAAAGGGCCATATAACCACAAATAAGTAGCCTCTTTGCCTGTAGTGGCCTTCTCGGCTTTGAGGAGGTGAATTGAAAAAAAAAAAAAAGATCTCAGGCTTCTCTAATGCAGTTCAAAAAGCTCAAGAAGTTCTTAACAGGCACTCATGATACCTAACTGAGGAAGTTTCAGTCTCTTTTCGAATAAGGTTTCTGCTAAAAAAAAAAGCTAACATCTCGTTAAAATTGATAGATGTAGGAAAGCCACTTGCTATCAACTCTGGAAAACCTAATCTTCCATCTGTTCACAAGAACTTAGAAATATTGCCGTATATTGGGAAAAGATCTCGGTTGCTCTTTCATAACTTAAACGATAAAGATAAATGGCTCAAACTTCCTCCTTTATAATGGGAGATAGATGGAAACTTTTTAAAGATGAAACATTTTATCAAAACAGTCAAGGTTACAAACGATGTTGCAGAGCGAGGAATCAAGTTATGTTCGGATTATTTTCAGATACTCACAAAGGTGATAGAAAGATATTTTTAATAAGTTTTATTCAGATTTTTTTACAGAATGTTTGGCTAACTTTAGGATAAGTCAGTATGAAACGAAATAATAGAAGTCGTTGAAAATCTTAAGTTTTTTAGTTTTTTAAAGTTAAAATATATTTGTTTGATAATTAAAGCATTTTAAACATTTGGAATAGATGCTAAATATGTCCCAAACCCGCATCAAATAAGTTTTGGTGATGATATTTTTGCGTAAAAACGCGATTCTTTAATAAAATGCGGCAGTACTTAGAAACATCAAAAAAAAATATTTTGTTTAAATAATAATTTCTATATGGTAAGGAACAATTTTTTATGCAGCCACGTGTAATTTTAAAAATTTTTAGATTTTGGCCTGCCCTAATATATATATATATATATATATATATATATATATATATATATATATATATATATATATATATATAATATATATATATATATATATATATATATTTATATATATATATATATATATATATATATATATATATATATATATATATATATATATATAATATATATATATATATATATATATATATATATATATATATATATATATATATCTATATATATATATATATATATATATATATATATATATATATATATATATATATATATATATATATTTATATATATATATATATATATATATATATATATATATATATATATATATATATATATATATATATATATATATATATATATATACATATATATATATATATATATATATATATATATATATATCTATATATATATATATATATATATATATATATATATATATATATATATATATATATATATATATATAGATATATATATATATATATATATATATATATATATATATAAATAATAATATAAAAATATATATTAAACTAGAATAAAAAAATGGTATAATGCAATACAATAACATAATTTAAACTATAATTTATAAATATTATAACAATATAAAATAAACATATGAATCATATATAAAGCTTGATCAATGTTCCTATTTAGTTAAAAAAAAAAGATTAACATGTTTATCATTGTTGCACCGCCCTCAAAATTTTAATTCAAAATCTTTTTTAAATATTTCATAAAGCACATGTCAAAGTTTAAAATAAAATTTTTTTACTTTAAACAGTAAAACATCAAGTTCAAGGTTAACATAATATGGTGTATGGCTTTGATAAATTTCATTTAGAAAGAATTCTTGCTCCCTGCTAAGCTTTTTTCAAGACTCCGTTTTAATCATTACGAATTTCTTAAACTTTGTTTTAATTAAATCAATAGTAAGGAGGGGGGGGGGGGAGGAAAGGGGGGAGTACAAAATTCTATATTTCTTGTTTAACCAGTTAATCTTAATTAATTTTTTGAGGGAAGTTCAAAAAACAATTTAGCTT